ATAAACGACGCGCTCACATCGCCAGCTTCAGTCGGCGAGATGAGTATGTGGATGACCTGACTTTTGCAGAAAGCCGGAAGGTGAACGACGAGAGTGTGATACCCGCAGCTCTGACTGAATTTCAGGAGTGGTGTTCGGACACTGGTTTGCGCGTCAGGCTCATCTAAGTGCAAAGTGATACGAGTGTCATTCTCACGAGTTGCTCCACCACCCCTCCAATTAGAGCTGAATGATACTATCCTGGAGGAAGTGAACTGTTTAAAGCTACTGGGCGTTATGATCCAGAGCGATCTCCGATGGGATAGCACATATTCAGGATATAACCAAGAGAGCCTCACGCAAATTCTATTTAATTCGCGCACTGAAACGCTTTTTCCGCTTGCCAGTGTAAGACTTATTGACCATATCCGCTCCGTTCACAAGTACCCCCCTCACTGGCAAAGGAAGTACAGTTGGGGTGTGCGCGGCCACTGTGTGTACATAGAACAAATCCCCTGGTGTACGCGCGTCACACACAAGGAACGGTGCGCGTCAACCAGCGAAATGTACCTGCCGGTTCGTTAGTGTGACGTCACCTCCAGCACTCTCTGCACGATTGGAACCGGAAGTTAACGCAGTTCGAGCGTTTGCAGCCAATGGGCGCTAGTAATCAGTGGTGCGTGCGCGTGTATGACGTTTTTACTAACGAGCCGGATGGGGCGTCGTTGCTAGGTAAAAGGGCGCCCTCTTTTGGTAGCGCACGGAGCTCATACACGTGTTACATCCGTCCTAGCCCTTGCTGGAGTACTGCGTACCAGTCTGGCACTCCTCAATAACCGCACAACAAAGCAACGACGTAGAGATGATCCAGAAGAGAGCTCTTCGCATTATCCTCTCCGATCACTATGAGAAGTATGATAACGCTCTCCGGGTGACTGGCCTGATATCCTTGAGTGAGCGAAGGGAACAATTTTGTATCAAGTTTGCGAAATCCTTGTATAAGAATTTCAGACCTTGGTTCCCCGAATCACAGAGCTCAATGCGTCAGCTTCGGCACAGTGAGCGACTGAGAGACTTTAAGTGCAGAACGGAGAGACTGCGGAGCAGTACCCTGCCTTACCTAGTCAGACTCATTAATCAACACCTAATGAAATGTAATAAAAAATGGTAACGTCTGGATGTAAAACAAAATGCATTCTTTTTATCACTATGTGTGATTGAAAGGCGTGTAGATGTACAAAACACGGTTCTTTTTATCTAGTCTGGGTAGAATTTTAACATTTTTTAATGCACATGTATGTATAAGAGTCTTTTTAGAATACTTTAATGTCGAACGTATGTATAAATGGTGTTTTTTTTTAAATGATTTCTGTTAATTGTAAATTGTAAACCATCGCAATTCAGTCTTCGGACTGCGAGAATGGTAAGAACAATAAAAAAAACTTCAATTCAATCAAGGATCTTTTCATTTAACCAAGTTTCTGTGCCAATAAGAATGTCCGGCTTGTGTTCATGTAGTATAGCCAAACATTCAGAAGCCTTATTTTTCAGACTTTGAAAATTGATGTTAATGACACTGAGTAAGGTTCTTCGCTCTAGTGGGTTTCTTAGACTTTGTTTTTGCTGTGTCACGCAGGGAAGGATTTCTCTTCCTGGTTTTACCAAGCGGTTTGGGGGATGATGCAGCAAGGGGTTGTACATCACTCAAAGACTGGTCTGAGTCAAGTGGAGTAAAGGGATTTTCAGTTTCAAAATCAGTCACAATACTAAAAAGCGAACCAGAAAAATTGGGGTGACCACACCCATCACAAACCCATGAGGTACTACAATTAGCCAACAGGTTGTAAGTTTTACTACTCATGTTGATGCAAGCGGCATGATTCCATTTTTCACACTCTTCACATTGGATACCTTTCACTGGATAATCCTACTTCCTCTCCACAAACACAACACGGTGCAGGGGGGTCTTCAAACGAAGAGTTTAATGGAGGGCCTGGGTTTAGGTTGACATCATTTCCAAGTCCAATCAACAAAACATGGGTCCAGGATAGGCCATGAGAATTTTTCAGAGTTTTGATAAATTGTCTACGAGGCAGTAACGCAGATGCAAAATAACTGGTGCTTCTTGTGCCAATATCGTGATCACAATCTGTCAGCCTTATGTCTACGGATGTACTTGCAGTTTTGCAGATCCCATCACTAATACGTGCAAAAGTAAGCAGGAATCCAATCACAAAATAAGTAATGGTGAACTCCATAGAGTTTTAATCCAAGTCAAAAGCTGCAGAAGAGGCAGTAGGAAGTCCAAGTACAAACTTCGATGTCGATCTAAAGATTGCACAGTGGTTTTTAAAAATGGCCAACTTCAAGATTCAATTACACAGTTGACTAAAAATGACGAAATTTGACGAAAATTCACACAAACGACGAACAATAAACCAATACGCAGATCCTTGGAAACATCAAAAGCGATAAAATGGGTTAAAAGACCAGGATGGCCAGAGGAAATGTGAAAAATCAAAGATTAAAAAGCTAAAAATCTCCCGCGAAATAAAAGTCGTCTAGCTCCGACACAGCGCCCTCTATCTAACCTTCACCGACGTCTAAACACTGTTTACTCAGTGTGTCACCTCCCGAGTGAAAGTTGGAAAAAATCACTTGGGTGAAATCAAATTAGGTTTTGCCCTTCACTAGAGGGTGGGAGGTCGTGGGTTCGAGTCCTGTTTGCAGGGCGGAAGTACGAGCGAAGCTCTGCCGATCTAGTCATTTTATTCTTTATCTCTATGATATACAAGCTGATTTACCCGATCATAGATCGGGTAGGGCGTAGTGTTGGGGATGAACATTTGGGGAGTTAAATGTAAATGGGGATCATAGTTAAGGAGACATGCAGTTATAGAAAAGCAATTTCTGTGGTGTGATGCGAGGCAATTTCTGACCACTAAAACCAATTTCAGCAAAAGATCATCTTGTAAAGTTTTGAGTTTGGAGTAATTGAATCAGCTACATGTATTCTGAGCAATAGAATCATTGTTGTAGGCTACAATTTTATTCGGGGAAGAAAAAGTGGGGGGGGGGACCAAACAATATCCCCCGTTTAAAATGGGGGGGGTCCCCCTGTCCCCCGTCGATTTACGCACATGATAATTATGTACCATGGCAACTGTCTGTAAATGTTCCCGTTGGTCTGTTAAATTGGCATTTTGTGAGGCAGTCGCATTTGGAAAACGCAGTGAAAAGGTTACCGTAGTACACAGGCGAAGGCTGATTGTACAGTTTTGACAATAAATCATAATGCAATAAAACGTAAAGGTGTCATTTGAAATGAAAATGTTGAGTGTTACCATAAAATTACAAACGATTAGTGGAGGAAGGTCATAATTAAGTTTCAGTATTGGACTCTTCAACAAACGTAAACTTGAACTTCTTACAATTTGCGAGACCGTCTTCGAGGAAAAAGTTGATTTAGCTTTTATTGAAGTTGGTTCAACCATCTTTATAAGAGCAAGTTTTACTCGGCCTCCGAGAAATGTTGGCTCCTAAAAGGATCCGAGACCGCGGTCTCCCGCGACACCAAAATGGCTCCACGTCCGTGGAAAAATGTGGGTGTCTTCCGCCGGGTCGGACACTTTCGTCGATTTCTTTGTGAATGCATCGATCCTTCGTTGACCCCAAACAGGCCCCCGAAATTATAACACGACACTGAATTATACGTGTCGGGCAGCGAACTCACAACGCTCAGCCTTGGTGGTGGAAGCATGGAGCTGTAAACACATTATGGAAGCAACAGCACTCTATCACGCGACGTCACATGCTTGCGCTTCAAATAGCGAGCACCGTAGACCCAACCTCGTTTCCAGGGTGTGGAGCAGGCTGCAGTACGCGTTGCCATCGACAGTTTTGCATAGCCCGGAAATACTACGCAGTGTAGACTTTCGATTGGTCAGACCGCGCAAGGCATACTTAATGTGTAGTCCTTCTGAGTTTTCGTTGCACTCGGCGCAGGGGCGGCAAGCGAAGCCTATGAAAGAATAGGGGCACTCGGTGGCCACGCACCATGGAGAAAAAATATTTTACCAAGGTCACCCCATATCACAATTTGGTGAACGCTTTGGCAGTACGGCTGAGTAGAACACGTAAACGAAACCCCTACGTTGACCTCGCTGACCTCGCACAGTCTAGACTCGCAGAAAAGCCAGCACAGGGGCGGCCAGGCAGTCAACGTGAAAGCGCACACGACGGAAAATTCCTGTGCAAAATGCTGTCACGAAAAATAGACGAAAAGGATCGCCGGTCCGTACGGGAAAATCAGGACGACCCGAAGTGTCCGACCCGGCGGAAGACACCCTCCGTATTTTTCCACGGACGTGGAGCGATTTTGGCGCCGCGGGAGCCCGCGGTCTCGGATCCTTTCATGAGCAAACATCGTCTCGGAGGCCGAGTTAAACTCTCTCTTATATATATAGATATGCTATGACGATATTTCGCTCGTACCCCCCGCCCTGCAAACAGGACGCTGGGATACTCTGATGAATTTACGCTCTGATTGGTTGGATTTTGCGTGAGCAGTGACCTGCGCGTCATCACGGTCATGACTCTGCAAGGTTTAAAACGGCCGTTAAGACTGATTCATTACTCTTTATCAGTTTACAGATGTTTTTTTTTCTTGTTGAAAAGCGTAATAATGTAGGAAGTTTGTAAAACTTATCTGTGTTGTAAATTTACAATTCCCATCACTCGCTCAGGCTCCGTTTTGAATCACGAACGGTCGGATTGCATTATGCGACGCTCAAAATGTTGTCCGCATGGTCCGCAATGAAACAGAAATCACATCCGGTATGGAATGCGCGCAATTCTATGAGAATTTTCGGATAGCATTTGCGCACATTGTCTAACTGCGGTCTTGAACAGCTGCAGCCAGATGCTTTATACATAGGTCATAGGCCACTTCCTTCACAAGATTCTGTGAAGCTCAGCAGAGTATCCCCAGCGTCCTGTTTGTTATTTGCAGCAGGCCTGGACGCGTGGGGCCGGGCCGGGGTTACGAGCGAATGACGATATCACAAACAATCGCTGATAGAGGGCGCTATCACACACAGACTGCATGCTATCCTTCATCCCTTCAATCAACCCGCACCGGAAAGCATCTGCCTGCATTTTGTACTTAATTAGCTGTAAAAAAGCAGAGTTTTTCATTTTTCCCCCTTATGGTAAAAACCTTCACTTTCCACATATTTTCGACTGCTGGTGAAAGTTCGTGCATCAAAGGATACGATCTGAGAGAAGGTACGTCATTTTAAAGGCGTAAGCGTTGCAAAATTTGCATTAGGGATGTTGTGCCCCATTCTTGAAAATCACGCAATCTTAAGAATGTGCGCGCATTCTTAAGAATGAGCGCCCATTCTTAAGAACGAGCACGCGTTCTTAAGAATGAGTGCTCATTCTTAAGATTGGGTGGGAATATCACATGCACAATTTATGAATTTTGCCCAATCTTAACAAACATTACACAACATAATTATGTTAAATGAAATGTAGCTGGAGTTACCCAGCCCTGAGTTTTATCATTGGGTTGTCTATAAGGGCTGGAGCGAATTTTTCTCGTAACTTGTAGTATTTGCAAAAAAATTTGGAAAATGTTCAATTTTGTCCCCGTTACACACTAATTGCAACTGCAACTCACCCCAAACTTGCCTGGAATAACCATTACACAGGTCCTTGAAGTAAAAAACGATCCACGATGAAGATTCAGCCTACAATTGCAGTGAAAACAGGAGGAATAACCGCTAACCTGACAACCTTTCAGGCATGGCCAGGACTGCTATTGGTTTGTGCACAAAAAAAATTGTGTACAATGAATGGCGGTCGATTAACAGGCACAGAGAGCGATCGCTGTCAACTACTCGTTTTTGCCGGCTGCGCTGGCGTTGGCGCGTGACGTCACGCGGAAGCGTAACACCCGATGACTGTTTCATGCACTAGTATAAGGTTTACCACTCGCATCACAGCTTTGGTACTGGAACCGCAACCAATAGTGCATGAAACAGTCATCGGGTGTTACGCTTCCGCGTGACGTCACGCGCCAACGCCAGCGCAGCCGGCAAAACGAGTAGTTGACAGCGATCGCTCTCTGTGCCTGTTAATCGACTGCCATTCATTGTACACAATTTTTTTTGTGCACAAACCAATAGCAGTCCTGGCCATGCCTGAAAGGTTGTCAGGTTAGCGGTTATTCCTCCTGTTTTCACTGCAATTGTAGGCTGAATCTTCATCGTGGATCGTTTTTTACTTCAAGGACCTGTGTAATGGTTATTCCAGGCAAGTTTGGGGTGAGTTGCAGTTGCAATTAGTGTGTAACGGGGACAAAATTGAACATTTTCCAAATTTTTTGCAAATACTACAAGTTACGAGAAAAATTCGCTCCAGCCCTTATAGACAACCCAATGATAAAACTCAGGGCTGGGTAACTCCAGCTAAATGAAATGTATAGCGGTTAAAAGCATGAAAAGGGAAACAATTTATATAAAGAGGAAAGAAAATGTTCTATGCTTCGGTACTCGTATAACTACGATTATTTGAATCAAATTAAACCTGTTATTATTGCTTTTTTTCTGCCCACTATGGGAAGTTTTGTAATAACGGAGGACTGGGAACTAGTCTGAGAAGTGCTTTGTTTAGGCTAGACAAGTTACAAGTCCCTGTATGTATCATATGCATGCCACGAAAAAAAACGATGTCCAGAAGCTGCCAAAATTTAGCTTGAGTAACTCCAGCTGACATGCTCATATTCATTCACATGCTAGGCTAGCCCGACTGCGTCTGGCCGTACAGTACTATCGCAAGCTCTGTAGTACGGCCAGACGCCCGATGCTTCCACAGAGACTGAATTTTACTTACATACCCAGCCAGATGTTTGTCAGAAAATTATTTTCTTATTTTTCGGGGCATTTTCAAAGGGTTCACTTTGCACTTGAAAATAAAATCGGAAAATCACGCCAAAATATTTTTTTCTTTTAACTTTGTAGCGGGTAAATAAACTCGCGATTTATGAACAGGAGTGTTTATAACTTGATGTTAAAACTGTTGCTCTAGCTAGGCGCTACAGGCGAAAAATCAAAGTGCGCCACGTTAGGGGCCGCGCCACGTTAGGGTACATCCACAATACACGAGGAAAGTCAGGTAGGCTTCGAAGTGCGCCACGTTAGGGAACATGACTATATTTCGGGTACTGGGGAATTTGGCAGATTTTTGAAGCACATTTAGCAGAATTGAGTCATGACCTTACGGTCACCTAGGCCTAGGCCTGCAGCCGTTTTTCCTTGTTCCGGATTTTTCCTAGTTCTGGATAGCTTCAAATAAAAACCTACCTCTTTTAGATAAGTCTCCAATAATTTTTTTTTGGACGATGTGCATTTTGAAAAGGAACATGTAAGGGCACAGCTCTTCCATCGAATGTTTGTTGAATCAAAATTAGTTGTAAAGTCTCTAATTTTTGAAAATTTGCCAACTGACTGTATGACTGTATGCTTTTGCCTAGTTCCTGAAAGCGCGTGCACTTACGACCCAACTACACGTACGCGCGTTAATCGATTTTGTGTGACGTATCGTATTCTGTGCTGGGTCAAAGATTTTCGGTCCGTGCGTGAGTTCGAGCCATTGCACTGCAGACAAAAGTTTCAAAATCATTTACATTTTTTTCTCTTTTTGAAATTTGGACTATTTTGCGCACAGGCGTATAAATACCAATTTTTATTTTTGAACAATGTCTTACTCTTGGGGTAGAAATTTGGATTTTCGTACACGGTTCACGGTTGGTGCCGTGCGATTCATCACACCTTGTGCGTTCACTGTACATCACTAACATCTTGCGGTGATCGCCATCTTTATTTTCGTGTACTAGTTTGGTAGGTCAATTCATTTAAAAGTGGAATTTGTTCCCTTAAGAGGAACCGGGCCCATTTATGGAACTAGAGTAATTCCAGCTAGCTGACATGCTCATCAGATGTGAATTCCTGATAAGCATGTCAGCTGGAGTTACTCAAGGTGGCTTAATGGTAACCCTAGTCTATGGCCCACACTGGAGTAGACTCTGCATTAGACCCGTGAACATGGCTATACATAACCACGCTCTAGAGTTTCGTAGAAACACTGGGCGCACGAGATTGTACAGGTACCCAGACCCGGACGGCTCCTACCATTTCGCGTGTGCATGACTCGGAGTACCAGCCTACCATGCGTGACCTCAGAAAATCAAAAGTTTAGTCTCTCATACATTTGTTGTCGTGTCCAGGTATTTTTTTTTTCCCTCAAATTTCTTGGAAATGCAAGAACCTACACTCGCGTGAATTCACAGGAAGCTTCATAAGTATGGCGAAATAAAAAAAAAAACATGTTTAGCGTCCTGCCTTTTTGAAACTCCTTTTTTTCCACTCCAAAATGGCCGCCCTATTGGGCTATTTTTTAAGGTGGCCGCCACTTCTTTTTTAAATGGCCGCCATTGGACTCAGGAAATGACATTACAGCTTTACATGGGCTAGATGCAACAGATAAAGGGGCCAAAATGATATCACTGCTGAAAATTTATCATTTTTTTGCGGTTTAAATATAAAAAAAGGGGGAGGCGGCCTCCAAAAAAGAAGCGGGGGGGGGTGTTAGATATGTTTTAATTTTTATTTCGCCTAAGTACTTAAAAATACTGGTGAAATGACATGCGTGTGATAAATTTGAGTGTTTTACGTGAGGACTTTACAACACCACACTCACTCTGCATATGCTGGGCAGTGTTGTAGTCGAGTACTTTTTTCCGAGTACCGAGTACTGCCGAGTACTTAGGTTGCCGAATACGAGTACGAGTACTTGTACTTCCGAGTACAAGAACAGGTCTCCGATTACGAGTACTTGTACTTCCGAGTACAAGTACTTGTACTTCCGAGTACGAGTGCGAGTACTCGCATTTCCGAATATGGCCATACGGCAAATGGTTCATTGTGTGTAATTGGCCCAGGCCCAGTCAGACCGATATACAGACCCACTCACGGCTAGCTGTTAAATGTGTTTGTCTGGACATGCACAGAAGAAAATCAGGAAATCTTGATTTCTCAACAAGCCAATCAACCATTTCAAACTGAAAGTATCGATAAAATAAGGCCATGGTACATGTAAGTGAATGTTCATCGCATAATGCGATGAGCATTGGAGCTCGAGTTACTGAATCTAGAGTTCCCCGTGCTTCCTTCTTGTGAAATTTGTCTCTTATTAAAAATTGATTTGTCCACCCATGGTCAACCGTAGCAGTTCATGACAGGCAGCTACAACGTCGACCCCAGGGTGTCAAACAGTATGCGCCCATCACTACCTGCTCTCTCACCCTGGTATTGGATCATTTGCATGTGCAAGATTTTTGAACACGTATGCAAATGAGGAATAGTCTGGTGCCTGGATATGCGTTACAATAGCGTTTGTTTCTGTATGCGGTGTCTGGGGTAAAAACAGAGTAATTTCGTTGCAGTGCGAGCGCGGCGTGAGTTACAAAAACTGTTACGATTTTATCGAGACAACATGCAGTATCATATTTCATAAGAATATGAGCAAATTGGAAAGGAAATTAGTATTTTCGAGAAGTCGTGGACAAATGATAGCAAAAACACGTACTGCACGTTGTGAATAATAGCACCAAGTACACGATAAAAATCCATTACTAGCCAATTGCGGTATCGAATCAGGATACAGGAAGAAAGTTTCCTATCCAGGGCTTACTATTGGAAACGTGGTTGGAAATAAAGTGAGCACTGGGGACGAGGTCGAGGCAGCTATAGTATAGTACTAGCCAAGTATAAGTAGTCTGGTTCTCCGACCAAAATATTTCCCTTTCTTTAACGTACACACGTGAAGGGCACCACTCTTGGTATATAAAAAAAGCCAGCCAATCACAGTGCCGCACGCCTCGATTGAGCATACATCATCAAGACGCCCGCACTGTGATTGGCTGGCTGTTCTGATCCCACACGCAATTTTTTTTTCCGATATGATACCGCCATAACCAGATGCGGTGCCTTTCATGCGTGTACATTAAAGAAAGGGAAATATTTTGGTCGAAGATCCAGTTTAAACATTAGGCTGTTGATTAGTTTAAGTGTACTGTAAGACAATGGGGTCAGGGAACCAGACGAACTGTGATTGGCCTGTCTGATGCAAACCCTGTCAATCGCAAGCGATCTTCATGAATGTGTAACTTCTCCATGTTGCTCAGTACAGAACACAGATTTTTGTCATCATTGGGACCGAAT